CTAGCTATATATATATATAATTCTGGATTGAAACTTCTAATGCGTAATCTTGTTTGTTTTTTAAGGTATTCGCGGCAAAGCCAGCCATTCATAATTTTAAACTAATAGGCTAAAGAGAAGACAGTTATTCAACAACCCCCACCGCCTATTCGAACAGTGGTATTTAACCGGCAATCTGATAATGGCTCCAAAGTGCGGATTGCGATTTTGCAGGAACCATTAGGCTAAGTCTGTAATTTATTTTAAAGTTTAGAAGAATTAACAACTTTCGTGAACTAACAGGAGAAACTTGTTTCTTCATGTTCAAATATTAGATATGTGAACCAGCAGATACAGAGTGAGAAAGATAATGGTGTAGTTTTCTAATAAAACAACAAGAAAAAAAGTGGGTATAATATTTTAAGGAAATAAAACAGAAAGAAAAAACGTGGGTTTGTTGGCTTTTATATAGAAAGCAACAACAGAGAAGTCGGACTAATGTCTCTTTTTTTTTTCCAAGACATTTTGAGCTGACGTCTAAGCTGATGTAAAATCTCATAAAATTAATGTTCTCATATATTCAAAGTCTGCCACAGCTAATGTGATCTTAAAAAGTGGACGTTAAAAACATCAAGCGCGTTAAATAAAGTGTTGTTTTTATTGTTTTTAAAATTACCACATTTATTTTACTTTGAGCATGCGTCCCCCTCCTAGCGTCGATATGAGGATTTAAAAGGTGTGTTGTGCATGACGTAGTTTTATGTTAGAACAGACCTCCTACTAAGATGTGTTGTGTCGAAAACCATGAGAAATGTAAGGCCAGTACTTAAATAACAACAACATGTAGTGATTTATGTAAACTAAGAATAACACGATCGACTAGCTCCACCTGTTGCTAAAAACCACCATTACTGGTCTAATCCATCTACTGCCTATTCTGTCACGAGTCGCGGACACCAGATGGGCTGAGAATGTAATAATAATAATAAAAAGTTTCATGCAGAGTTGTTAACATAAATAACAGCCAGTTTTAAATCTCGCTAGTCCTAGCGTAACTAGGCAACTGTCGCTCAGTGACTTCAGCTAATATAATTTGCTCATGGTTTGTGAGGAAATACAAACACTTTTACGTAACCAAAACTGTTAATTATTTTATTCTAGCATCCTTTTAAAGTTTTGTTAAATCCACTTTTCTTGTAAATTCGCTTTGGTTTTTGAGAACAACTCAATGAAGTAAGTGAACATTACTGGTGGAAACATTAGCTAATCGTTCTATTGCCAAAGCAGGAATATTTTTAAAGAGCGTGATTGGTATTAGGGATACTAGGCTGAGTTAGGGGTATTAGACTAGTATTAGGGATATTAGATTTGGACTACGGGTACTAGACTAGGTTTAGAGATACTAGATTTGGATTATGGATTCTAGATTGGTATTAAGAGTACTAGTTTGGGATTAGGGATACTAGACTGGGGTTAAGGGTACTAGATTGGGATTAGAGATATTAGATTTGTATTAGGGATTCTAGATTGGTATTAAGGGTACTAGTTTGGGATTAGAGATATTAGATTTGGATTAGGGATTCTAGATTGGTATTAATGGTACTAGTTTGGGATTAGGAATTCTAGATTGGTATTAAGGGTACTAGTTTGGAATTAGGGATACTAGATTGGTATTAAGGGTGCTAGTTTGGGATTACGGATTCTAGATTGGTATCAAGGGTACTAGTTTGAGATTAAGGATTCTAGATTGGTATTAAGGGTACTAGTTTGGGATTAGCGATTCTAGATTGGTATCAAGGGTACTAGTTTGGGATTAGGGATTCTAGATTGGTATTAAGGGTACTAGTTTGGGATTAGGAATACTAGATTGAGATTAGGGATACTAGATTGGGATTAAGGGTACTAGTTTGGGATTAGAAATACTAGATTGGGATTAAGGGTACTAGTTTGGGATTAGGGATTCTAGATTGGTATTAAGGGTACTAGTTTGGGATTAGGGATTCTAGATTGGTATTAAGGGTACTAGTTTGGGATTAGGAATACTAGATTGAGATTAAGGGTACTAGTTTGGGATTAGGAATACTAGATTGAGATTAGGGATACTAGATTGTGATTAAGGGTACTAGTTTGGGATTAGGGATACTAGATTGTGATTAAGGGTACTAGTTTGGGATTAGGGATACTAGATTGGGATTAAGGGTACTAGTTTGGGATTAGGGATACTAGATTGGGATTAAGGGTACTAGTTTGGGATTAGGTATACTAGATTGGGATTAAGGGTACTAGTTTGGGATTAGGAATTCTAGATTGGTATTACGGGTACTAGTTTGGGATTAGGGATACTAGATCAAAACTAGAGATACTAGACTTGAAGAACTAACATTCATAAGCTTCAAAAACACAGATTTCAATAAGTAATTTATCATTATAACCTATTTGTGAAAAGGGTAAATCATATTGTATTAGGTTTAGTGTATCGTGACCACACTATCAGTTCCCTTTTCTTCTTTAGTTTTGGTAAATAAGATTTATGCGTAGACTGTAGAAACACATTTTTGAAGATTAAAAGGCAAATAGCATATTCTGAAACCAAAATGAACTGAAAATGATTAGCACACGTGTTCCTTTTACAAAGAGAAAAATAAATAAACATTATTAATTAACTATCAAAGTCAGTCTTACCAGTGTACACGATAAGTACGAGAAAAATCTTCCCAACAATAACAAACCATTGTTTTTAATATTTTAACACTTCAGTAAGTGGTCATGCTACGTGTTTTTAACACTTCAGTAAGTGGTCCTGCTACGTGTTTTTAACACTTCAGTAAGTAGTCCTGCTACGTGTTTTTAACTCTTCAGAAAGTGGTTATACTACGTGTTTTTAACACTTCAGTAAGTGGTCCTGCTACGTGTTTTTAACACTTCAGTAAGTGGTCCTGCTACGTATTTTTAACACTTCAGTAAGTGGTCCTGCTACGTGTTTTTAACACTTCAGTAAGTGGTCCTGCTACGTATTTTTAACACTTCAGTAAGTGGTCCTGCTACGTGTTTTTAACACTTCAGTAAGTGGTCCTGCTACGTAT